AAACCAGTATAAACCAGTATGAACCAGTAGGGAAATAATGTCTTGGTTTATCCCCGTTCTGGAGCCTCCCAGTAGCTCCCAGTGCCTCCCAGTTTCCTCCCAGTGCCTCCCAGTGCCTTCCAGTGCCCCCCAATCCCCTCCTAGGGCACCCCCAATACCAAACCAGTATAACCCAGTATAAACCAGTATAAACCAGTACCAGACGGAGTCGGTGTTGAGGCGCTCCAGGGGCCTCATGCTCTCGTCGAAGTAGATGTCGGTGGTCAGCGACACGTCCGTGTCGTGGGCCGAGTTGTAGTTGGTGACCGTGCGGGTGGGGAGGCCCAGGCAGCGCAGCACTGACCAGTATAGACCAGTATAAACCAGTAAGGACCAGTACGGACCAGTACGGACCGGTACAGACCAGTACAGACGGGTAGAAACCAGTATGGACCAGTAGAGGGCTGGATCATCTATCAGCATATCCCAGACCCCCTCCCAGTGCCTGACCAGTATAAACCAGTATAAACCAGTAAGGACCAGTATGGACTGATAGAAACCAGTACAGACTGGTATATAACAGTATGGACCAGTATGGACCAGTAGGAACCAGTAGGGACCAGTAGGGACCAGTATAGGCAAGTAGAGACCTCTCCTTGGGACCTCCCAGTATAAACCAGTATGGACCAGTATAGACTGATAGAAACCAGTACAGACTGGTATATAACAGTATGGACCAGTATGGACCAGTAGGAACCAGTAGGGACCAGTAGGGACCAGTATAGGCAAGTAGAGACCTCTCCTTGGGACCTCCCAGTATAAACCAGTATAGACCAGTAAGGACTAGTATGGACTGATAGAAATCAGTACAGACTGGTAGAAACCAGTATAGACCAGTATGGACCAGTATAAACCAGTAGGGACCAGTAGGGACCAGTATAGGCAAGTAGGGACCTCTCCTTGGGACGTCCCAGTATAAACCAGTATAGACCAGTATGGACCAGTATGGACTAGTATAAAGCAGTACAGACTGGTATAAACCAGTATAGACCAGTATGGACCAGTATGGACCCGCCAATCCCCTTCCAGTCCCTCCCAGTATAAACCAGTGCCCCCCAATCCCCTCCCAGTATAAACCAGTAACTCCCAGGTCTCAAACCAGTAACTCCCAGTGACCCCCAAACCCCAAACCAGTAACTCCCAGTAACTCCCAGTAACTCCCAGTGACCCCCAAACCTCCTCCCAGTCCAAACCAGTGACCCCAAACCTTCTCCCAGTGCCCTCCCAGTCCAAAC